CCCCCCCTTTCCTTTCCACACTTTCTTCCTTTTTTCTTCCTAAACGGGTGGTAGTTTGATTCGATTTGGTGCTTGGTTAGGTCACGCTGTGGGAATGGTGGCCGGTGAGGGTGGAAGGGGAGGAGCGGAAACTCGCGGTTTCCGGCTTCACTGAAAGGTATGCGTTTCTTCTTTCTACGACTTTGCGATCCAAATTTGGTGGACTGATTCTACGATTCCAGTCAGTAGAACCCGCTCTGACTGACCTTGCTTCTGACAGGAATGACGCATTCACTTCTGCACCCATAGCACATCGTTATGAGCCTCTCACGCTCCAGGATGAAGGTGGGGTTGTGGTGCTCCTTCATGGTTCAATTAGCTTGTTGCGAATGCGTCAAAATGGATTTTCTGTGCAGGTATGCACATTCTCTCCTGTGTTTCTTCTTTTATCTATTCTGTTCATAAACGATGATGGAAAGTCAGCCCAGATTCAAGCAAAAAGCTTATTCATGTGCAGAAAGACCATTTAGTCATGATTCTAATCTACTGCTCTGGTAAAAAAAACATGCGTGCAGATATGCGAACAATTCATGATTGGATTTCCGTCCTGGTGGGAGACTTGGGATTCGCACATGGAGTCTTACCCAAACTGTTTTATTGATCCACGAGAGGGTTCAGCTCAGTTTTACCTGGAGAAATTCCAGCTAGGCAATTTTATTCAAAAGTTTGGACCCTCGTTCATCGAGGACCTTCTTAATAATGCTAAAAATTTCCCAATCGACCATCTCGATGCATTCACAGAGAGTTCAAGATTCCAGGAACACAACTGTGGAAATGATGCTTCAACCAACGAAAATTCTGCTGCTTCAGATGATGCCAGACCCGCAACTGTAGCTAATGTGGAAATAGGCTTGACTACGAGCAGCACTTCACAAGAAAGAGATCATGTGGACATTGAGTGTAATGTATCTCTTGCTCCTGCAGAAACATATACTGGTGATGAAACTTGCAAAGAGGCAGGAAATCAGAATGACACTACGCATCCAGATGCAAGGGAAGACAATGCTGGTAGCCATCTTTTCAACTCCGATTGGACTTGCACTATGTGCCCTGATCATATGCCCAATGACTCAGAAGGTGGAAATGCCACCCGTGCTGAAAATGACACCATGTCCCCTGATCATATGTCCCCTGATAATATGCCCAATGACTCGGAAGGTGGAAATGCCACCAGTGCTGAAAACTCAGTAGAACTGCTGGGTAAATATCCTTTAGCCGTAGTACTGCCTGAAAGTGCTAATTGCTGCTCAGAGATTCCTGGTGCTTCTCAAAGTGTTGAACCCTCAAGTATGTGCAGGAGCAAATTGTTAAGACACTGGTTAAGGTTTCTCCTGCGGATATTTCATTTTATCTTGATGTTTCTAAGAGTGACTATTATTTAATTTAGGTTATCAAAGTACTCCAGTGGCTTCACTGAAGAATCAACACTGCTTGGAAACAACTGAGCACATCACATTGACTCAGAAGGCAGTATCAAATGAAGATACACCATCTTCAATTCACTCAGATGTGCAATCCCAGGAAAAAGTGAGTTATAAATCCCACAGCTAAAAAATCAGATCAAGTAATCAGTCTTTGAACTTCGTTTTGTGTTACTATAGTATTTCTACCAGTTTATTTGCTAAAATAGTTAATATGCAACTACCACCTCTGTTAGTTTTACTTTTATTGTTATTGTCTCCTCGAATTAGGACATTCTCGATTTAGCTTTATCAGGTACTGCTGGGTGCTCTGTATGGAAATTCTTGTACTCAAGAGAAGCATAGCTATGTTAGAAAAATCACGGGGGCATATAATTGTCACAAGAGTGACAATTGTAACGACTCAATTCTACATGCCTGCATCTTAAACTGAAGTCATTTAGATACACCGTCAATGTAATATAGCATCTTTAGTAAATCTAACCCAATTAATATAGTTGCAGTCCACAGAAAACGTATGATAGCATGTTTCCAATCTGTGCCCTTTGTGACATTTCATGATTATAATCATTTGCAATGACACTATTTCTGTAGCATTACCTGATTACTGGGATGAAACAGATTCCAGCATCTTTAGGTTCAATGTTGTGGCTTCAGATTTTGTTTACTGTATGTCCAAATATGTTATGTAGCTAGTACATACTTTTTTCTTAGTAATTCGTAATTAATAATCCTTACTAAGGAATTTCGTAGATTGATCTGTACCTCACATATAAGATGTGTAAAACCAAATATGATCCATTAAATTCCTTAACATCCAGGGTAAGGTGCATCATACAGTATTTAGTTTTTCTTTTTGTGATGCCAAGTTCATATTTAGCACATTTAACTTAGTGATCTTGTTGTGTTCCTTATTTTACATAGTGAACTTGACAGCCTTTTACGTGGAAAAGCAGACTGTAGGTTCAGCAGAGAAGCGGAGATCTGCAAAGCAAGTGTTGGAGCGTCCTACTAGATCGCCAATGACCAGAACTTCAGCCCCATATGTGAGTATGCAAATTTTCTCCATACCCTTTTCTGTTGTTAAACAATTTAAAACATCGTAAAACTATTTATAACACTTGTTAAATGCTGATGGTTAAAGAAATCTATAATGTGTTAGCTTCCATAGCTTCTGCAATTGCCATGTGGATCCAGCTGTTACTGAATGATTGTTCATTATCTTGGACATTCTTTAACATCCATATAATGCACAAACTATTGATGTAGAGTTGCCAATTTTATAGCAGATTTTAGTATAAGAAATAGGAGTAGCCGATATCACACCACTTCGCTATGATGCTATTGGACAAAGTTGTAATGATTTTATTTTTATCTTTGAAAACATGCAGGAGTAAACTTGTAATGATTTTAGCGTAGTTTTTGTTCAGACAGACCAATATTATACCAATTGTAGTTACCCCAGTCATCTTTTGTGCTCACTTTATATGAAATAGCAGAAAAGTATGCCTGCTTACTGTGATCAAGATTGACTGTGATGCCACCTTCTTCCTTAATTCTTAAGTTTTACTCATATATATAGCCTGTCTTGGCGTCCCATATGTTCAATCCACTCTCTGTTACTTGACTCAGCTGGCAAAAACTGTGCTAGCCAAGATTTTGACCCATTTGTATCTGTACTTATTGCAATGTTCCTTTGAAACATTTTAGGTGCATAAATCTCGGCTTACTCGTTCTAGGGCCCAGTCATTATCTATTTCCACACCCGAGTCTCTCAAAATGAGAAGAACCAAATCAGGTACAATGTCTTATGTTGGATTCTGCTACTTAAACAATTTACCAATTGTCCTTGGATAAGGGGAATTCTTCTTCTTTTTTCAGGTCGAGTGGTAGTACCCCAATTGGATCCAGGAAGGAGTAGGATTGTCTATGACAACGTTAGTAAAGAAATATATTTCAATGTTATATCTTATATGACTGTCTGTGCCCGTGATTAGCTAATTTGTTAATGCTTAAATTATCCTAGTTTGGTCTTGTTCATTGCACCAAAGTCCAAAACTAAACAGTGAATGATGCAAGAAGAGTTTCCTGCAAAGGCTCATATAACGAAAGTGTCAGTCTATAAGCTCTCCGGTGGAACTGTCCATGATATATAATCATATTGCTAGGACTCGGAAGAGCACTGATCAAACGTATTAGGGTAGTGCATGCATAATCTGAATATTCACCATCCCTTCATAGTGTTCCGCACTGCAAATTATTGGTGGCACAAATCTGAAATGGCTAGTTGATCTGGATAAAGCAATGCATAACTTATCATGTAGAATTGCAGTGAAGATGCTTATCGTATGATGTAATTTTCAATCTTTAGTAGGATATGGATGCATAACTTGTCTTTTTTTTCCTTAGATCTATCTGCTAATGGCATGAGGGGATTAAGCACTGTCTCCTAATTGAATTCCGTTTGTTGTGCAGAATGGGTTGATTTCAGGCGTCGCTCCTGTGGATGGTTTGTTGAGAAGCTCCCCTGCCAAATTTGCATGCCATATACTACGTATATAGCTTTCCCTCCTTGGTAAGCATAATAATCACGTGTGTCCTTGGGTGATAGGGAAGAAGTCAGCGAGACCTGCAAAGAAGACAAGGGGGCCTCTCTGAATGACCTCTTGGACTGTCCGGAAGCTAACAACCTGGAATTTCGACATGGAAGTCCCAAGGCTCCAGCACCAGCACCAAGCGGTCGGCGACAGTATAAGATCCACTTGTTTGTACGGTGGAACATCTCTGCTGGATATTTGCTGATTAGGACCTTGTAACAGCAGATGTGGGCAGCTTTTATTTCCATTTTGTGTGTCCCATGCCCTAACTAACTAAATCTTACTGGAGTGCCACAAACATGGCATGTCTTGCTCTTAACTAGTACTGGAGTAAATCTTACTGGAGTGCTGCAAAATCGTAGGCCCCGATTGGATTAGCGTTTCAGCTCGTTTATGGCCGGTTTAGGATACGGACCTCCTTCCTCCTCCTGTCGTTTTCATTCCAGGCAGGAACCAAGAGGTGACCGGTAATTTGCACCTGTAAAATAAATGGGTCGTATTATGTAGAGTGGGTCCGTTCTGCGTATTATGTCGAGTGGGAGCATCAGTTCGGTCCTAGGTTGACCACGGAAGCGCCGGAAAGCTCGTTAATAAATCCAGTATGGGAACGGTTATGGAACTTGCATACCCGAGTTGTGAGAATCTGGAATTAACTTCCAGATCCTCTTGTATATATTTGTCAAGCTTAGATTATTAACAACACAACGAAATGATATCATTGCACAATGTGCAATAAGTTTAAATATATCTTGCCACAAGGCATACATAGAGAAATGTCTCATGACATTTATTACAACCAGAAACACAGCGGAATATAAAACGCGTAGCAACTCCATCTCAGCCACAGGCAGTCGATGTAGTCAACATGTCCTCACTCTTCAGGATCATCATAATAATCGTAGTCGACGCCCTCGTCTTCATAGATCTCTGTAGTTCAACAAAAGTATTGCCATGAGTACATTATGTACTCAACATGCCTCTCATGGGGGGGAAGGACATAATAGCTACATGTGGCTTCAAAGGAAGGCTGTATGGCTCATTTGCATAAAGCTAATTTTGTTTGACAAATAAAGTAGTTGAATAATAGCAGTTTTAGATGAAAACATGTTTTATCTCCTGAATAACTTTCATCAAGTGAGGATCCTCGATTAACTCACGTCTTTCATAGGTTTCAAGAATATAGGGGAAAGAGGGAATAAGAAAGACATGTCCTGTATGTCAAGAAAGATTCATGTGTTGTCCTTGGCCGTGGACACGACTATCCGAATAGTTTTACACTCTGCAGAGGTTGTACACTTTACCCACACGACACAATCCCGTCTTGATGCAACCAGTGGCCGCTGGTATAGTACACCATTTGGTATACCGGCAGGGAGATTGTGACGAGGTCTTTGGACTAGATCCCCCAAAGATGTGGCATGCCCACCGGGTCTGGCACACGGAACTAAGAGTACGTCCTCAAACCGGTCCCCCCATCTGTGCCGAGGATACTCCCCGCATGGCAGCTATCCCATCTGCGGTACGACGACATCAACACCTAAGGCTGACTAGCTTACTTGACCAAGCCAGTGCCCATATAACATGTGGATGTACCGTTATCACAATCTTCAAATCCAAGACTTATTAGGCCTTATGCGGCACGGATGACTGATTGCCCCCTTCAACTTGTGAAGGTAGCCAATCGCTCCTTCAATCGTTGATTCAGCTGTCGCCCGCGCCGGTATTCAGATGGTAAGTTTCACCCAGAGTAGAAGAGGATAGAGAAGGTCAACAAAGGCCAACTGGCCTAGCTCAACGATAAGTTTCAACTGTCAATGACTCAAAGGTCATTCAACAAAGCACCTATAGGGTGATAAGCATGGCTAAGCATTTCTACTCTATCGAAATTATATACTTCTACTCAGGTGTCAAATGAATAGGCGACAAGCGGATCAAGGTGATGTGTCCATCGACACGCTAGCTACGAGAATTAAAATATCATGCATATAGTAACAATAAAACTCAATGCAATTTTGTAAACCATAGGATAAGTATGATCAAAGAAGGAGGCATGCCTTCGTTGTTGAGTCCTTCTTCGGTAACCTGATTCTGTCCTTGTCCAACATCGTCATCACTCCCTACTCGTTGTAACGATAGCAAAGGCAAACACAATAAATACCAGAGCAAAAGTAAATCCAAATAACATCCAAAATAAAATAAGAGTGGATGGACAACATGATATTGATCAGATGGAGATTCGAAATGAGATAGCATGATTGGGAGGTGAGGGAGATGATTCAACGAAATGACATGGTTACGTTGACACGACCAAGGAAGGCTTTGCGACTAAGACTAACATTCTGACATGAATTATGCAACTAAACGCTAGTAGTGCCCACTACACATCTCAACAAACTATGTAGGAAACTACTATATAACAAACAGAATGGCATCAACACAAATGAAATGAAACCAATGTATGCATTTTAACTACACATTCACAACATGGCATGATAAGGTAAAAGTTAACCACAAATAGATAGAATCTAAATATTTATAATGATAACATCTAACAGAGTAAAACAATAACCATAACGACTATTAGCAAACATTTCTCTAACAAGAGCCAACCCAATACGATGGTGAAATCTAATTAAATAACTAAGTAGTAAGACAAATATGGTACTAGAATCATATAAAGGTCTTATCTAATAACACAAGCATCAAACATACATGACAATGGTAAGGCGTTACACGAGAGCGTGCTCTTTAAAACAAGGAATAACAAATATCCAATAATCACTAGCCAAGATTATCATCACATAATTAAACAACAGAGCTGAAAGCACAAGTGCTTCCTGCGTGATTTTGGTAATTAATGTCAACATATCTCTTGTTGGCCTAACACTTTTACCTAGTATGTTTCAAACAAGTTCAACAATGGAGTGACATGGACTAAAGGATGTGGAACCCCTTCAAGATGCTAAGGACAAAGGATTGGCTCAAGCTTCAAGATCAAGACTCTACATTTTCTATTTTAGTGATCCAAGATCACATTGAGTCTATAGGAAAAGCCAATACTATCAAGAGGGGATGAGGTGTTGCTTAATGGCTTGCTTGCTCAAAGTGCTTAGTGATATGCTCCAAAGCCCTCAACTACCTTCTCACATCCACATATGTCCTAAACCAAAAGTCTAACTCGGCCCCACCGATTCTTTCTATCCGGCGCCACCGAGTTCAGATGTCATAGCCACTGCCACAAACCCTAGGCAAATCGGTCTCACCGATAGGGATCTCGGTCTCAACGAGATGGGATTGTAATCTCTGTGTGTATGTCCATTACCAAAATCGGTCTCACCGAGTTTGATCAATCGGTACTACCAAGATTACAATGCAAACTCTCTGGTTAACTTATTACCAAAATCGGTCCCACCGAGTTTGTGTAATCGGTCCTACCGAGTTTGCCTGATCAACTCTCTGGTTAGCTTATTACCAAAATTGGTCCTACCGAGTTTGTGTAATCGGTCTCACCGAGATTACATTATGCCCTAACCCTAACCATATCGGTCCTACCGAGTTGCATGTCGGTCCCACCGAAAATCCTAACGGTCACTAGATTTGCTGAATCGGTCAGACCGAGTTTCTCAATTCGGTCCCACCGAGATTGGCAAGTTGTGTGTAATGGTTAGATTTTGTGTGGAGGCTATATATACCCCTCCACCCACTCTTCATTTGTGGAGAGAGCCATCAGAACGAACATACACTTCCAACTTACATTTTCTGAGAGAGAACCACCTACTCATGTGTTGAGACCAAGATATTCCATTCCTACCATATGAATCTTGATCTCTAGCCTTCCCCAAGTTGCTTTCCACTCAAATTTTCTTTCCACCAAATCCAAATCCTGTGAGAGAGAGTTGAGTGTTGGGGAGACTATCATTTGAAGCACAAGAGCAAGGAGTTCATCATCAACACACCATTTGTTACTTCTTGGAGAGTGGCGTCTCCTAGATTGGCTAGGTGTCACTTGGGAGCCTCCGACAAGATTGTGGAGTTGAACCAAGGAGTTTGTAAGGGCAAGGAGATCGCCTGCTTCGTGAAGATCTACCGCTAGTGAGGCAAGTCCTTCGTGGGCGACAACCATGGTGGGATAGACAAGGTTGCTTATTCGTGGACCCTTCTTGGGTGGAGCCCTCCGTGGACTCGCGCAGCCGTTACCCTTCGTGGGTTGAAGTCTCCATCAACGTGGATGTACGATACCACCACCTATCGGAACCACGACAAAAACATCCGTGTCTCCAATTGCGTTTGAATTCTCCAAACCCTTCCCTTTACATTCTTGCAAGTTGCATGTTTTACTTTCCGCTGCTCATATACTCTTTGCATGCTTGCTTGATATGTATTGTGATTGTTAAACTTATGCCAAAACTCCACTTAAACTTAAAGAAATTAAAAACTGCTACTTTGGGCACCTAGTATCTAATCACCCCCCTCTCTAGACACCTCTTCTCGATCCTTTCAATCGGTATCAGAGCTTTGGTCTCCATTGCTTTTGTTTAAACACCATTGGAGGAAGATGGATGAGTCTACTATTAGGAGTCTTAGACATAGGGTGCCTATACTTGATGGAGAGTATTTTCATGAGTGGAAAAATGAGATGCTGGTGATCTTCAATCAATATCATTTAAACAAGTACATCGCTAGCCCTTGTGCACCTCATGTTGATCCTATGCATCCTACCCTTGATGAGTCAATTGACATGATCAGGAATCTTAGAACTATTAATCTTATCACTAGAGGCTTGCCTAGAAACTTGATTAGAAACTTGCCTACTCTTGAGTGTGCCTACACTATATGGAAATTTCTTGAGGAACATTTTCCAAACTATTCCTTAAAAAATCTAGATGAAATTCTCCATAAGTCTATTTCCTTGAGTAATATGAATTCCAATGATCCTATGTTTGGTGATTGTCTATTTGAACTTAC